TGACGAGGGAAAGAATGCTTCTGGGTGGTGTGAAGAAGTGTGACAGCAATCACTTATGAATTTCACAGTTTATGTAGGGATGAATGTGTCCATGGAAGAAATCCTCTTACTCATTCTTCATTTAACTTTTTTTTCCCCCCTAAATTTGCTACAAGGTGTGTGTGCATTCACCAGAGAGAGACAGACGGGAGAGAGGCAAAGTGACAAAGCACCTGCCAGGGGGGTAGGGGGGGGGGGAGATGGCCATGCTGCAATCCTTTCTCCTCTTGGGATTTTGGGCACGCACGTTAACATATTTTTCAATCTGCTGAGTCCATTATATTCCCAGTGTTCAGTACGAAGTGAGGCACATGGTAACTGCTCAGTGAGTATTTGTTAGATGGGGCCAGCCAGCTGCTATAGTGGTTAAGGTGGCTGGGTTCCAGCCAGATCGAGCAGTTCAAGTCCCTGACTCAGCTGCTTGAAGGGTCTTTCTCCCTCCCTCTGGCCAGCCCATATACCTTCAGGCAATAAACAAAAGCAAAAGGCCTCAAGTACTAAGCAGTTCCTATTCTGGAACACATTTAGTAACTTAGGCCGAGACTAAAAATGGAAGGAGATGGGAAGTACCATTTCCCCAACTGTCCTGGTGTGGGCATTGGCGTCCCCCATGTTCAGAAAGCCTCCTACTTGCATTGACCTGTTCATTCAGCGTTCTTTGCTGTCAGTATTCTGCTGGCAACTTCGTCTCAAGGCAATCTAAACCAGAGCACGAGGAAGTGTTCTGGCCACAGAAGGGACATGAGGGTCATTTACTTCACCGGAAGCCCTGATTCTTTCTTTTTTGGCAGAGCAGGCCCCAGGCTGACGTCCCCCATTGAGACCCCTTGAGAGCAGATGGCTTCACAAATGATGACAGCACCTCCTGGTGGATGGAATTTCGGCAGCAACAGCTTTTTTCTTCTTTTGGCTCAGTATTAAAAAGTGGACCAAGTTGTTTTTAGTCAGGGGGATGAAACGGTTGACAACCATCTTGATTTTCCTCTGGATTGGCCCTTTGGGTTCCAGAAGTTCTGGCTGAGGATTTGCTCACTGACCCAGAAGATGTTCTTTCTCTCGGGCACACGCTTCTTACTCATCTTTCTCCGTGGGCCAGCGTATCTCTACGTCTAAGCCAGTGCTTCTCAGCCATGTTTATTAAGACGCCTCCCGGGATGAATCGATGGGTGGTCTCCTACTGCCCAGCAGCTGAAGTTGTTTAGCTAAGCTTGACTTTATGGAGTTTGTATTAGGAAATCAGTGAGTATTTGAGGTATGGTTTTTCAGGGTACAAGATTGTCCCCACCCCACCTTGAGAATCACAGCTCTGAACAAGTGTTCTCATCCTCGCCATCTCTCCGATCTCATAGGAGAGGGTCAGTAATTCTCCAAAGGAGGTGAGGACCCAGTTTGAGACCTGCATGAAGCTAAGCATGGCTGGGCATGGCGTGACGCCATGGGAGCAGTGCAGATGCTGCAATCACCCAGCGCCACGCCGCTGTTTGAGAGGCTCATCCTCGCAGACCTGAACAACCATGTATGGGTTCGATGTCTATCGCCAAGAAAATTAAAACGTGAAATGGAAAACATCATCACGGAAGAAATGCAGCTCCCTTCCCCAGGCATATGTCTGTAAAAGGAATTGGTTTTGAGCAACACTGTCCTAAATGATTCTCTTTCCCCCATCCCACACTTGGAAAAAATTAATTTCCTTTTGTGATCTCCTCTAATAAAGAACCACCTTCAAACGACTCAGTGATTGTTGTCCAATTCTTCTCTGTGTTCTCAAAACCTTAAGGAATGGCATTAGCGTGAAATACACTGACCTGAAGCTTTATTCACGTTCGTCCCTGTGATTATAACAAATAGACTGCAGTCACTTATGGAGTGTAAATGGTTGATGTTTTTTTCAGTTTGCTAAACAGCATGTGTGTTCTCTGAAGAGAGACAGAGAAAGAGTGAAAGACACAAAAGCACTCTCTGGGAGAGGGTGGTCATGCCACAATCCCTTCTCTATTCTCCTCTTTTTATTTACTGATTTATTTTTAAATAATTATTTTATTTATTCATTCATTTATTTTAATTTGACTAGAGAGAGACGGGAAGCGAGACAGCAGGAAAGCAAGCTGCCAGGTCCAGGTCTCATACTGTGGTCACCATGTGGGAGTGTCCAGTGCCTTAACCACCAGGCCACCTGCTGGTCCCTCTATTCTCTTTTTAGACTCACATGTACAGGGTGTATTTTTTAAGTCTCTGAGTCCAGGACTAGAACCACACTGTTGGCCATGTGGGATCCAGCCAGCCAGCACTGTGCCACTGGTGGGCCTGAGACTGATTCATATTAAAATGACAACTAAGGTACACTAGATCAGCACTAGCCTCCTGAATGATTTCTAGGGGTCCAGTCATCGTCTTCTTTCATTTCCACTTTCCACCTGTGCTTCAGCTTTTCCTCCTGGACCCCAGCCGCCCCTTCATCCAGGACTGCTGTGGGTGGCAGTGCAGGTGACACTGCAGGACACTGAGTGGCACCCTGGTGGTAACACAGCCCGAGTTCACCCCGGACTGTCCCCCACTCCTTGTACTTCCTGAGTCCTTGCTCGCGGCACCTTGTCCCAAGATGTCCTTCCTTCTTTGATCTCCTTTCATGCTCCACTTCCACTCTCCTGTCCCGGCCCTGACGTGGACCGCCTGGATCTCCCTCCAATCACTGCCGTCCAGCTGGAAGGCAGTCACTGCTAAGGCTTCCGCAGAAGCACAGTGCGCCTGTGTGCAGGTACTTCGCAGTTCACACCAGGCTGTTTGCGAATCATCCACTGATTTCTTGCCATATTTAGAAATATCCTGAGGCAAAAACCGACTTTGTAAACCCAGTTTTGAGTGCTGAAGTTGTATTTTATCAGAGGAATACATGTGATTTCAAAAGTCACAAGGAGGATTAACTTTCCTTCTCCACCCCTTTCAGACCCCAGTTTTGGACACAGATTTATCCATTTCATTGGTATTTAAACCTACTTTAAAATACTGGGATCAGGGGCCAGAAGGTGGCATGTTGGTGAAGGGCACTGGACTCCCACATGGCTGACCACGGTTCAAGTCCCAGACCTGGCAGCTTGCTTTCTCACTTTCTCTCTCTCTCTTTCTCTCACTCTGTCCCTTTCTGGTCAAATTAAGATAAATAATTATTTTTAAAATTAAAAAAAAATTGGAACTAGCAGATGGCATAATGGTTATGTCACTGGACTCCCCCATGAATGATCGTGGTTCAAGTCCCAGACCCAGAAGCTTGAAACTCACCCCAGGCATGTGTGTATGCGTGCCCAAAATCCTGAGAAGAAAACAGAGGAGAACGGATTGCAGTGTGACCATCCCCCCTGGGGAGGGCGATTTCTCATTTTCTGTCTCCATCTTTCTGGTGAGTGCATGTGCCCTATAGTAAAAATCTCTCTAAATTTATATATATATGTGAGCAGGCCAGAAGAGCATATATTATATATATATATTATAGGGGCCAGCCAGTGGTGTGGTGATTCGGGTGCTGGATCCCACAGGCTAACTGCATGGTTAAGTCCCGGACCCATGTGGGTTGAGAAACACACCAGGCACATGTGCATGTGTGCTCAAACTCTGAAAGGAGAGGGAGAAATGAAGGAAAAGACTGCAGTGTAACCATTGCCTGTGGGGGGGTGCTTACTCACCTCTTTAGCTCTCTCTACTCTCCCTCCAGCAAACACATACACCTGCACACTCCATCTGCCAAATTAAAAGAAGAAAAAATAGGGAATATAGGAAGAAAATGGGGGGGTGGTTTTGTACTTTTTCTCTCACTGTCTTTCTCTCAGGCAAGCACATGTGCCCTATGGCAGAATTCTTAAAAATAAAAATTGGGGCCAACAGGTGGTATGGCGGTTAAAGGCACTGAACTTCCACATGGCTGACCACAGTTCAAATCCTGGACCTGGTGGCTTGCTTTCTCACTTTCCCGCTCTCTGTCTCTCTCTGATTAAACTGGAAAATAATAATAGTAAATAAGTTTACTTAAAATAATTCTTTCTAAAAAATTTAAAAATTAAAATAAATTATTAATAAAAAACATAATAAAAGAGTGAGAAAAAGATGATCACACCTGGTGAGTATCTGGAGTGACTGAATGAATGATTTAAACAGTGAATGGCAGGACCAGCAGTTAGTGTAATGGCTATGTCGCTGAACTCCCATGTAGTTGACCACAGTTCGAGTCCTGGACCCGGTGGCTTAAACTCACGCCAGGCGCG